CTATTATAGTGTTGGAACATACCCAAACTGCTACCATAATCTCTGAAATGTTACTGTTCTCTGATTTAGGTGTCTGTGTCAAGAATAAAAATGAAGTATAACTGGTAGCAGTAGACTATTTCCTAAATGTAATTTAGTATTCACTAAGCACCAGCACTTTGCAAATAGCTCTGAGGCTTTCCTTCAAAGTTCAGAGCTCTAGTTATGCATATTGTGTGAGGTACACCATGCAGCTCACCTCCAGCCTCTGTTGTGCTGAATAGATGGCTATGATAAATCATGCTGATTTGGCACTGAAGGGCATCAGCCATCAAGGATTTGACTACTATGTCTTTTTTTTTTTCCTTGAGATTCTATCTCCTTGAACTGCCTGCCCTGGGCTACTAGTTTTGGAGAAAATTAAAAAGTGGAAAAAATGCTAGAGGAGGCCAGTACAGAAAGCCTACATAGGCTCAGCTCTCTGGAAACCCATTAACACCAGTCACAAGACTGGCAAAGAAAACATTGGTGGTTGCTTAAAAGTCAGGCCAAGTCATTTTACGCAAGATCTGGTAATTCATTAATCAATCTGTCTGCAAACCTTGAATGAATAACCTGAAATAGTGGAAGAGACTGGCAGCACCACAGAACATGAGAGAGTTTAGAATCTGAACCAATGCAAATTACCCTGGTGATGTTTAAGGCTCCCCTCTACCCTCATCATCTTCCTGATGCAAACTCTTCCAAATAAATAAGATATCATTTATCTCCATGAATTTCCCTGCTGCCAGGAGCAAGACAGTATGCATTTCATTGTGCATCTCTTTCTCCCCCCACATCCTCATTGCTTGTAATACAGCATTTTTTGGCAGCCTACAATAAAACTTAGTCGCCTGTTTAGGCTTTCCAAACACACGGCACATAGCATGGTCTTGAAAAGCAACGTGGGCTACACCTATGCAAAACAATTTAAAATAAAGTCATCAAATATGGTGAGAATCTCTCTGAAATACAAAATTATGTAAATAATGAAATCCACGGAAGGGCAAGAAACGTAGGTCTTCTGAAGTCTTTTTAAAGGCTAAAAAAAGTGTTTTGCCAAGTATGAGAATACCACACTTAGACATCTTTATGATTTTACACAAGTTCATTATACTTTAACAGGCTATTGCCTATCTATGGGCTGCATTTTCTCTTAACATCAGTTGAGTTATTTGTAAGCAATGCCAGCAGAGTGATATATCCACTGTAGATACCTTCCCTCCCCAAAATGCTAGGCATGGGTCATAAATAATTTTAAATATGACTAACCTTATATGATAGGGTACAGTATATTTCAAGAAGCCTCAGGGGACAATGGTTTTCACAACCAAAAAGCCTTCTCACTTGTGCCACACTGAGTTGTATGGTTGTTCACTTTTTCACATAGCACTGGCTTTGAGAATGAAAAACTAATCATTCAGATTTTCTAAAAGTAGCCAAAACAATTTTTTACAAATACAATTTTTTAAAGTCTAGTTCTTCACAAAAGCAAATCATGAAAGTGAATGATGCAGTAAACCATCTAAATAACCGGTCTTGGGTGACTTGTTAACTATTTACTTGCATGAACTTATGTCAATAGACAGTGCCCTGAGGGGCAAGAACTCCTTCATTTTATCTTTGCAGTAGTGAGAACAACAGGCAAAGAAAACTAGGTGAAAAACAGAAGTGATCAAGCTATGAATAGAAAGAAATCAAGTAATTCATAATATACATATGTACACACACTGATAAGAAGAGACTCTGCGCTGAGGCACACGGCTTGATCTGGGACTAGTATCAGTTACGTTGGCATGCAAGTAGAACAACGCAGTGATGAATTCAGTGTGTCTACAAGATACTGGTGTGTTTTAATACGAGGGTGAAGGCCAGCATCTCATCACACCTAAGCAGATGAGAGCAGAAATTTATACTCAACAGTTACATACTATCTAGACTAATTGGACCTTTATCTCACTTGGCTCCTGGTTGCTACCATAACTATTAATAATTTCTAGTCCGTGAGACTCTCAGTGCCACTGGGAGTGTCTAAGCTTGTGGGTGCTCGGCTCAAGCGAGCTTCCAGGAACATGATTTTCAGAAAGCCTGAAAATTCATTTTCTAAAGTACAAGCCTTTCTTAAAAAAAAAAAGTGCACCAGCTTGAGACATCCAGGAACTTTGTAAAGGGCTTTTGAACACCTAGACAATGCCGCATTTACTGTATTAACACCTCAAAGGAGAGAATGCTTCATTCAAGGTTAGGGTTGGCAATTAACACCATACAAGCTTGTGCAATTAACGCTACTCTTGTACTTCCCAACATTTGTTTGCTATTCTGGTTCTTTGCTCTCACCCTGAACAGACTGTATTTCTATTTTTGTATGACAAAGCCTCATCTGGAAGCTTAAGTTAGATAAAACATACTACTCCCTTGATGATCTGATAGAAAAAAGAAAAAAAAAGTTATTTTCTTTCAAAAGAAAAGCCAACACAGATCAATAAGGAAAAATCTAGAGATTACCAAATGGGAAACTTCCATTCTCTCAGCTAAAACAAATAGTTCCTCGCAGAGTATGTGAGAGAGTCTCTGGAGGAAGAAGACATCTTCTTCTGTTCTTGAGCACCCCCAGTCGTCACATTACAGAGCGGCAGAGGCGAGAAATAGTGCAAGGTATCCAGCTGCACGATGGAGAATGGGGACGGGGTTAATGTATGGGAGAAGAAAATAACTGTTTCATTCCCATCTTCCTAAGCCAAGCAAAGAAACGTAAATGTAACATACTATGAAGCTGAAAATAGTCTAATTTGTCACTGCAGTATTGCAAAATGCTATTAGAACACAATTTGTCCCTACAGGTGAGTATGGACCAAACGGCACTGTCAGAGACAGCGATGCAGGCTGCAGCTGAAGTTGGTGAGTGCGAGGAAATCCAGGCCTTTGCAAAGAGGACAATAGAATTTGCCCGTTAGGAAAGCAGCAGCTTATTTCACTTCCAAACTATTATTTCTGACCTCTTAGTTGCTGCCTAGATGTATTTCCCTAGTTGCATACCACCTGTTTCTTCACACTGGGGCTGCTCATCCTCAGACACACCCGAATGGGCCCGTGAGAGGTCACATGCAATGACCAGTACCTTGTACCACCATCTCCCAACAGGGTTACGTAGAAGCTTATCTGTTTGCCTCGCTGTTTGCAACATGCTTTGATTTTCAGAATGGGAATTGTCTCATATAGGAAGTGACAATTCCTATACAAGGCATATAGAGGAATCATCACTACCTATACAAGACAATTTGGTACTCAGCAGTGTGGCCACCAGTGCAGCCAGGCAGTTATGCACAGGGTAAGCAATGAGCCTGTAGTCAAGTTCCACTGGTTTTACTGGAACAATTTGTGTGTTTAAAGTTAGTAGATGTTTAGTTATATTACTTATCAGGAACTTACATTTTGAAAGTCCGTATCTTCAACTGACTCTTCCAAAAGAAAAATGTCTCTGCATTTGGTTTTCGATGAATAAGGAAAACCACATCTGGATTATATGAAAAGCAAAACCACTCTCTCTCACGCTAGCTGCAAATGTGTCCCCTGCCCCCCCCGCTATTGACCATCCAAACCTGCACACCAACACGCTGTATCCTGCCTGAGGTGGTACAACTGCAATTCAAGAACAAGACGGGGTTTGGAAACTTTGTAAAACAAGGCGCGGAACATTATACCACTAATGAAGAAACAGAGCCTAAGCACAGGGTTTTGTGGCGATAATTGAATTTTGATTTGAATAAAATTACTTCCAAGTTACTTGAGTGTAAATGATAGAAATTGAATAGAGAGTACCAGTTTCTGCTATCAATTACACTGGTATAAATCTAGAGTAACTTCGTCTGCATCAGGGAGATCACTGTGGGTTTAGAGATGTATACAAAAAAGAAGAATTGACATCTTAGGTAAGCATTTTACTATACTGTTTCAGTTAATCTTTTCCAGCCTTTAAACTCCACTGTAGTAATTCGGGGTTTCCCCGAGTCAGTGGGCCAGCCGTACTTCCTGGAGCTGCGGTACCTGCCATGGGGGAGGCAGCACCCGTGGCTTGCTGTTGCACAAGGTCCTCCTGCCAGCTAATCAATTTATTGTCCAATTTTCCAGTCAGTGGACGATCTATAGCATCTCCTATCATCAAGGAGGGAAGGAGGTTAGGGTTCAGGAGGGGCACAGCTGTCCCATAACCACAGGGTGGAGAATCACTAAGGCTTCACACAACAAAAGAAAGAAGAGTGGAGACAGCGATAAAGAGATCGTAACCTTCCTCTCGTACACGCTGATCCTCAAGGCAGAATTGTAAAGAAAACATTTAAATCTCTCCTACCACCCTTCAACTTTTACTTTAAGACTGCCCTCCACCAGGAGATCTATGAAACATCCCAAACGATGTCCTGGTTCCTGAGCTACTGACAGTCCTCACTGCCTTCTCTGCCACATCCACCCTGTTTCTCCCCTATACATCAACTACGAGTACCTCTCAGTTTGTGTGCAAGTGCCTTGCACAGTAATGCTCTGAGCAGTAAAAACCTTTACTAGAAACACTCCAGCTACTCATCAGCTAGTTGCTGTGCTGCACTCCACTTCTTGCCGGGGAATGCAAGCGAAAGACAACAAACACGTTTCAACTTTTGTTCTCCTTTGCAGCCGACAACTGTGCAACTCTTCGCCATGACGCCACAGGGCAGTGCGCTCTCGTCACTCTTCAGCCGTTTCCTTTCAAAAAGGAAAAGTTCCATTTCATTCCTTTCACGGCTTTTTTCCTCCCCCCTCTCCATATCCCAGGTCTGGTTTTGATCATGAGGACTAAGGGCATCGGTCAGAATCTGTAACATATCACCACGTTTGTTGTCTCTTAACAGGGGAAAAAATAGTAAAACTGTTGTTCTCCAGGCTAAAAAAAAATTAGAAAAAAAGCAAGCAAGGACTTTGCAATGTACACTTGCATCACCTTTCCTTACCTCGAATATATTGGCAGGTTCATTGCTGTACTGATTGGAGATGATCTCTGACTGGTCACTGTACCACTTGAGTCCCCCCAGAAAGCTGTCTGCGTCCAGGTCGTTCACATCTAGTTCGGAGAGGTCAAGTTCTGGGAGATCTGGGCAAAGAGGCTGGTCTTCGCCAACCAGAGCAGCACACTGCAGGAAAAAGCAACACAGAAATAGTTTCATTAATTACCAGGAATCTATTAACTTTAATATCATGTGATAAGAATTAAGCCTCAATTAAGCTATGGCACAGGGTCACTATAATTGACTTTATTTCCTGGACACTCCCCCCCCCTCAACTAGGTATTAGATCATTGTTAGTTCTATACAGGTATGCAAAGGGCAGGGGGAAACAGGAGGGCATAAGCTGCCTTTTCTATCACATCTCTGTCCAGGGGCAACGACTTTCCTTCTCCCTATACTCTTTGATAACAACAGTGTTCAAAGCTTTATTAAATCCAACAGCAGAGGCCAAAGCATGGCCTTGTTCTCCTGCTTCAGAGCGAACCAGTGCAGGTAGAAGTTACAGATGAATACCTCTGGGCAAGGTCTGTCACGCGTTTCCTGATGCATTCAGGTTAAAGAGGCACAGCCTGTTACAGCCTTGAGCCCTGGGGGCTAGCTCAAGCTGGAGATAGTCACACTTTCACTTCTACAGATCCTCACTGTAATCCTTGAGGTCAGTCATGATGGTGGCTACCATATGGGCATAAAAGAGTACGGGTCAGTGATGCTGCTGTGCTCTTTCCCTGACGCACAGACCACAGCCACCCAGTTACACGTCAGGGTCCTGACAACCGAAGCGGGTTCTGAAATATCTGATTCAGTAATCCTAATGCAGAGGGTCTGTGAAACATTATGGTTGAGGTAGTAAACAAAGCCTAGTCTGCACGCATCCTCTTCAGCAGTGTAAAATGTTTTTGTGTCCATGACTTACGGAGAGTAGTGATAAATAGGAAAACATGGAATAAGTGTCCTTTTATATGCTAGTATGAAGCTAGATAGGGTATTGACGGACATACTACACAAGAAAAAATTAATAACATATATCCACTTTAGCATGGCAATTGAAATGTAAGAGTATCCACCAAAACCATTTCCTAATTATGGAAAACACACAGTAACAGCTTGGCAAATAGCGCAGTCCCATACGTCAATGCTGCTTGATGAAGCAAATCCTCCTGCACTGTACCACGTACCCTTGTAACTCACCTCCGAACATCTATGTTGATACGGGTATACGGCAAAACACACGTAAAGCTGCAAAGGCACCAGGCACTGAACAGTTAAAAGCCACTTAAAGTCAGCTAAGTCTAAGGGCTTCCACCCTCAGTGTTTCTAGAGTTGTGTCACGGACGGCCAACAGCAGGTCTGGTCCTCCTCGACTCCCACCAGTTGACTGGGTGGTTTGAATGATTTCCCAACTTCTATTTGGACTGAAGTCAACCCAGAAAGTGCCACTTTCTGAAGAGGGATGTCTGTAGGGCACTAACACAGTGTCCATGGATGTGAATTGCTCAATACCCGTTACGCCACTCCCGCAAGGACCGCCTTTTACAACAATGCAAGCAGGAGCTGCTGAAGGTGCTTTTCATTGAGGTTTTTGTCCCTGGGAATCTCGGTGCGCCTGCAGTGTGCGGGCCGGATGCAGCAGCGCAGCCACGAGCAAAGATTTTGTCTGTTGGCACAAAGACTCGGTGCAGCTGGTGCGAGCTATAATTTACCAGACAACTTCTACGTCTACCAGGACACTACGAGATAATCACGGAATAGGCCAAGGGGCAAGGGAGCTGAGAGGCTGCAAAATGAGTCTCTGAAATAGCAGTTGCTTTTCTTCCTATTATTTAAGGGGCTGCAGAACCTTAAGAACTCAAAATGCCGCTTAAGTAATTTTCACTGCACGCAATTTTTTATCATTATTTTGATCACAGGAAAAAAAAAAATAGAGAGTTCCCTCTTCTTTAGTGCAAGACACAAGCTTCTGGGAGCAATCTTATAATGCAGATATGACCTTTTTTGATGCTGGCCGAAATCTCTGATCTCATTAAAGGATAATCTAGTTTTTGACAGAAAAGGTAGATTCTCAGCATCATTCTCAGGTTTGTGTTGTGGAGGTCAGTAGCTTATAACTGATGCCGTAGACTTCTAAAGTATCCTGCTGATCTGTTACTGCTTTCGTTTGTAAAAATAGCTTCACTCTGTGAACCACCTACTTAAACATGTTTACTTTTGGTAATCTGCATTTTAAAGTTCCTACGGCGGGTTTTTGAAGCAACACAAACAATGGCATTAAAAAAAAAAATCCTGCTCATCGAAGCTTTCATTTGCCTATAGTGACTGCAATGTCACCTAAAAAAATGTAATTGCTGAAATGAAGTATATATGCTCTTGCCAATGTTGACATGATAATAAAATCAATGTTTCTGAATATGACATTATGCTTCTAATCTGAGACACATTAGTAGCAAGTGTTCTTGTTATTAATTTATATTTGGCCTTTGGATGATGCCAGATTTAACACTCCAAGTCCTAAAACTGTCCTCATCTGACACGCTGATATTTACTGTTTGCCTATACATCTGTAACAGGTGCACCTGCATTGCTAGCATACATTTTACTGTCTTCCCACCGTTATTTGATATGATAGTTATTCCACAACTATAGCCTTAATTTTATAGTAACATTTAGGAGGATAAAGCAGTCACTAAACACAAAAGGTTAATTACTGTGCATTATTTCACTGTAACAGACTTTTTTTCTCTTAGATCAGGCGCAAACAATAAATTAGCTTAACTGCACTGATGATAATGAATCATTATAATTAAGTATAATTCTCCATTAACCTTTTGGACGTTTTCGTGCCTTTGAAGGTAAATTAAAAAAAAAAAAAAGAAGACTGGACTTGTGCCATATTAATTATATTAATGAAAATATAATCTGTGTTTTATTTTTAACAAGTTTTTCAAACAGCCAAGGGGATGAACTCGGGAAAGAAAGAGAGACTTGACAGAATGTGTGTCATGTGGATTCTCTCTATCAATCTTCGCAACCTTACTGTACATCACCTTCATTAAGCTGTGAAGCACTGGGGACGCTGATCAGCTACAGTGATGCAGGCCTTTATTAAGCAACACGCCGTCCTGTCATTACATGAGCGAGAATATAATACATTTTATGTTGACAGCAAACATTAATGATTCAAAAAATGAAAGCTGCCTCCAGTACCTGCCACCTGCGATATTTTAGATCGGTAAAGGTGATCCCCCGAGCCAAAGCAGCACGCAGACGCTAGTATTGCTACAGGAAGTGCAGTGCAGGAGCACATTGGTAAAATCCTACCCACAGTTAATCCATCCACCTTACAATTAATACTAAGATCAAACCCTTTTTTTTTTTTCTTTTTCCTCTGCACTATGAAAAAGTCATTGACATAAATTATCTATTCTGTTACTAGCTTGAAATTACTGCAGGAACTCTAGTGATTAAAATAAATCTTCAGTATTTCCATATAAGCTGGTTCCTCAATCAGCTCCTAGCAGCATTAGGAATAATACATGATGGAAAAACGAAGCTACGGCAGCTGAGACCCATGCTACAATCCAGACAACAACCCACAGGATACTCCAGCTACTCAGAAACAATTAGGACTTCGGAGCCAGAAAGTCATCCACTTACAGCCTTGACTCATAATAGCTACAGGACATATGAATTATCCATATCTATTCCACTTTACCAAGAAATCAAAACAAGATAAGAGCAATTACAATATGCAAACAGAAATCAGCAGATACAATGGCAAGCTGCAAATATTTGAATCACGACTAAAAGACTTGAGAATCCACACGCATGCTCCGTCAGATGGGAAAAATATACTGGAGAACACGTAACATTTTTACTTTAGACGGGTAGCTCTCTACGGCATGAACATCTTATATAAAAAGCATCTCCTGTAACCTGTTTTTCCCTCCCCCGTTGCCCGAGGGGAGCATTTTAAGCACTTATTCCAAGCCAGAGGGTTAGTTCCTTTGAGCAGGTCTGTATATGGGATTCCTCTCCATGGGGTCCAAAAAAAGTTTGCCTCGCTTCGCAAGTTGCCCGAACTTTCAGGTAACGCTCCATTTTGCCGAATGCAAACATGCCGAAATCCTCAAACCTCACTTTATACTCCAGAGATTACCAGGGAGCTACTTGCCTTTTTTTTTTCCTTTATGAATTGTAGCCAGCAGAAGCTGTGGATTTGATGTATTGCCGTCTATTTTTACACAAGCATCAGCAGCGGCGGCAGCAGCAACAGCAGTTCACACAGTCCTGCATAAACTCTATTCTCACGGTTCATCCTGTTGTCTCTGTTGTACAGTGGGATTTAACCATTTGTTGGACTACTCGGATTGACTGAGAACCCTGCTCTACGGGACATTAGCTACAGCGTCATTATTCCAGTACCACAAGAAGCAGGGAAAAAACATCTCCTTCCAGAAATCTCTTTTAAAAGCACCTAAAGCCAAACAACAGGGTATTCATTCTTGCGTGCATGTTTGAATCCTGCAGCTGATAAACAATGAACAAACCTTCGACAGAGCACAGTGAAACAAGCAATTAAAATATGAAGCCGTTGGTTAATTTTAACTACTTAAAAAAAAAAAAAAAAAGAAATGTTAATCTCATTCTAAATAAACATGGCATTTTTCCAATCAGGCCACTAAACACCACTGGAAAGACTTCAGACACCGATTCATATCAATATCTTGGAGCATAAATATTGCATATGACGGGAAGGCGAGCCAGAGGCACATGAAAATAGTTTCCAACTGCAGGAGATACTGATGACAGGAGCTCAGCTTTGATTTGCTCAAGGCATCGCAGAGTAACCTTAAAATAGCAAACTTACTGGAGTTAAGATAAGATTCGGACTTGTTTGCAAAGTATGCCGCCTCGGCCGCCCTGCCGGTTCCCCGGTGAG